GGTGGAACTGGGCTCGGGGGGGTGTCAGGGTGACGGGGACCGGGGGGATCTGGTGGCACTGGGAGGCCCCAGGAGTGGGGCTGGGCTCGCGGTGTCCCCGTGTTGGTGTCCCCAGCTGTGCCACTGTCCATTGTCACCCTGGCCTTGTCCCCAGCCATTGTCACCCTGGCCCTGCCCCGGTGCTGCTGGCCTGGAGCCTGGGGACAATGCCAGCCCGGGTGTCCCTGTCCCCATGGTGACCCAGGCCTGTCCCTGTCCCCATGGTGACCCTGGACTGTCCCCATGGTGATCTGTGCCTGTCCCCTGTCCCCATGGTGACCCAGACCTGTCCCCTGTCTCCACGGTGACCCTGGACTGTCCCCATGGTGACCCAGGCCTCTCCCTGTCCCCACGGTGACCTGTCCCTGTCCCCAGGGCCGCCCTATCGCCCGCTGCCTGGCGGAGATGCCAGCGCAGGTGTCCCTGTGTGTCCCTGTCCCCAGGGTGACCCTGGACTGTCCCCTGTCCCCAGGGTGACCCTGGACTGTCCCCATGGTGACCTGTGCCTGTCCCTGTCCCCAGGGTGACCTGTGCCTGTCCCTGTCCCCAGGGTGACCCTGGACTGTCCCCATGGTGACCCTGGGCTGTGCTCTGTCCCCAGGGCCGCCCTCATCGCCCGGTGCCTGGCGGAGATGCCGGCGCGGGTGGCGTCGTGGCGGCAGCAGCGGGAGCAGGCTCGGGAGCGGGCGCGGGCGGAGGCGGCGCGGCGGCAGCGCCTCCTGGCCGAGGCGGGGCTGGAGGGGCCCCCCCGGGCCGGGACCCCCGCCCGGAGCGCGGCGCGGGCGCAGGAGCTGCTGGAGGAGCTGGAGCGGCAGCAGCGCCGGGAAGAGAAGCGGCGCCGGCGCCAGGAGAGGATGGAGGCGGCTCAGAGCGCGCTGGCGGCGGCTGAGGCGGCGGCCAAGGAGAGAGCCCCCCCTGGGACCCCCCCTGAGGGGGCTGGGGGGGCCTCCTGACCCCCCCCATGAGCACCAGGAACCTCCCCAAGGGAACTGGGGGGACCTCCTGACCCCCCCTCT